CCGACGATGCCGGTCAAACACGATTGCAAAGTGATTGCGGGAGCGCACTGCTCGCAGCCCGCCGTCAGCTTGCATTGGGCGGTCGCCATATTGCCCAACGTCGCACCTGGCACGTGCGGCGAACCTCGCGGGCATGGAGCACCTGGCTGGCGTCTGCACTGGCTCCCGGATGGCGACCCCTGCCTGTGCTGCGACGCTGTGTAAGTGGGAGGGCGGGCGGGGCGAGGTCGCTGGGGCAGGAGGCGGTTCGCGCGGGTGAGGGCGGGCCGACCTCCGAGGAGGAGGAGGAGGGGGAGGAGGAGGAACAGGGGGAGGGGGAGGAGGAGGAGAGGAGAGAGGTGAGGCGGGCGGAGGAGGGAGGAGGAGGAGGAGGAGGAGTAGAGGAGGAGGGTAGAGGATGAGAAAGGGAGGGGAGGAGGAGGGAGGGAGTGGGAGGTGAGGAGAGGGAGGAAGATGAGGAGAGGAGGAAGAGTAGGAGGAGGAGGAGGAGGAGGAGGAGGAGGAGGAGGAGGAGGAGGCTTGGGGTAGCTTGCCCCCTCCCACTACCCCCTGGCCCTGGGTCTGGACTGGAGGGGGTCGCGAGGCGCTGGAAACGCCCAAGACGGCCTCAGCGCGAAGGCAGACATCAGAGATCTTCGAGATTTCTGGGCACGCGTGTGCTTGCTAAGGTGGGGGGGGGGGCTAAATTCGAGGACACCCAGCGGCACCCAAAACGCTCCACGATGCCCCCCCCCCCCCGCCCTTCCCCCCCCCAAGAGCCAGCAAGAGGCCCTCATGACGCCCCAAGATGCCTCTAGGATGCCTTCAAGAGACCCTTAGAGACCCAAGCTTCCAAGGGGCATCTGGCCCACGCAGGACCCCGATATCTCTAACTGATGCCCCGCGCCCCCGTTCAGGTCAGCTCCTCTGGGCAGCGTGTCTGGATGGGCTGGTGTGGATACTTTTTTTTGTTCGCAAGCGCGCAGGGGTGCCAGGCGCCGTCCAGAAACGCGGCGAGCGAGCAACGGCCTAACTTCCGCACAAGAGCGCACAGGAGCGGGCTACGCTGCGGCTCAGGAAACGCGGAGGACCAGGAAGGGCCACTGGTCGACGCGCAGCGCCAAAATGGCGAAGAGCAAGAAGCCGACGTACTCGAAGACCGCCGCGACGCAGCCGAAGAGAACGACGAACAGGGCATGCAGGCGCTCAACGGAGAGGTTCTGAATCGCCAAGCACCGAGAAGTGTCGGAGCAGGGGCGTGGAAGCGGCGGAAGCGCCACCACGGGCGGGGGGACAGGGAGAAGCCACCGCCAGGGCCGCACAGGAGCAGCAGAGGCGGGAAACCAGCGGAAGGAGGTCGCACCCCTGCGCTGGAGGCGGCGAGAGCCAAAGCCAGGGACAATCGCCGACCCTGGGGGAGGCGACGTGGGGGAGGACCGGGAGTCCGTCAACCCCGTGCGAGCAGAGGCAGCGGATTCACGGCGAGCCGCAAGCCCGGGGGCCCAGGGGCACCCCGAACTGGAAGGGGCTAGCGGGCGAGCCTCAGGGGCGCCCAGGGTGGCCGCGAGGAGAGGACGGCCCGCAGCCCAGCGCCCAGGGTCGGGGGGGGGGTCCCAGCGACCTCCTGCGCAAGGCTGGGGCGGCGGGGGAAGACAGTGACAGACCGACGCGGTTCGGAAGTGTCCCACCTGCGGAGCCTGTCTACAGAAAGCGAAGGGACTCACCGAGAACGTTGACCCGAGGGTGACGGGCCGAGGGGGCTTCCGTGGTGTGGATACGCGAAGCGCTTAAATTCCTGTCCAGAGTGCCGACGCACTGGGAGCTCGCACAAAGTCCGCACACTCGGCCAAACGGCATCCGGTTTTTTTCCCACTACAGGGCCGCGGTCGCGGGGAGCAGCGCGCACGTATAGAGCACCATCGGCCACGGGCGGGGTGGGCAGAAGAGGGGATCGGCCAGAGGGCGGAGGGGAGGCAGCTGCGTGCAGCTGGCTCGTCGGGCGTCTCGAGGCGTCGGGGGCCACCAGGTCTTCGAGGAGGGCGCCCGGCGGCGGCGCCAGCCGCCCCCCCCCCCCTCCTCTCGGCCCCCCCTTCGCCCCCCCCGGGCACTGCTGAGCCTGTTTTCCACCACCACCACCACGAGTTGGAGGGGGGAAGGAGGCGGAGGGCGAGGAGAAGGAGGAGGACGAAGAGGAGGAGGAGGAGGAGGAGGAGGAGGAGGAGGAGGAGGAGGAGGGAGGAGGATGAGGAGGATAGATGGAGGAAGGCGGAGGAGGAGGAGGAGAGGGGAGGAGGAGGAGGATGGAGGAGGAGGAGGAGAATGGAGGATGGGGGAGGAGGAGGACCCCGCCTCCAACTTATGGTGGTGGTAGTGGTGGAAAACACGCCACCAGACATAGATGCCAGGTGGAGTGCAGCAGGACCCAGAGCTCCCGGGAGCCGCAGCGCCGCGAGGCGACGAACCAGCCCACGGAGGAGACGGCCAGGGCGGTCATGCACCACACCTGGGGGTTGAGCAGCACCCCTGGCGCTCCGGGCCGACGCACGCCCCGATCTTGGTCCTCTTGCCACTTCACTTTTACGATTAAGTTGGACCTGTCCTCCTACAGGGGGATTTGGGGACGTTGTTTTGTGTTTTGTTTTTTTTAACCACAAAAAAGGGAAATGACAACAACATGCTCAAAAAATCGTCCCCTGATTCTTTTCTGACTCTCTCTGAATATTCCTCCTGCAGAAGGACGGGCCCGACCGTATTTCCACGGGCAGAGGCCAGATCACGATCCCGATCGCAGGTCGCGGGTGTGCAGCGAGCATCGTGCTGGCTGCAGCTCTCCCTTAGGGGGGCACTGGGAGGGGCAAGGACCACAGCTCCCCCAGCTGCAGCTGGTCGAGCACGGGCGGCGCCAGAGGAGCCGCCAGGGGTGTCCAGCGCCGATGCAAGAGATCCGCGCGGACCTCCGAAAGGTTGTGCTCGTGCAGTTTGCCATGTCTCGAGCTTCCGAGTTACAATCGTTTGCAAGCCCTCCGCTCTCCCCTGGCCCCTGGCCCCTGCCTCCTCAGCAGGACCCCCCGACCGGCTCGGCCCAGTACACAACGCTGGCGCCAGGCGCGCCGATCGAGCGGATGCATCGCCGATCGCTCGGCGCGCCCTCCGACGACTGGCGGCGCGCCGCCCAGACCCTGGCGGGCCTCCCCAGACTTCCGCCGGACTGTTGTTTCCACGACACGGCTCGCTGCGCAGCCTCCGGGTGACGGCAGTGAGCCAAATCCTCGCGCCCTGGGAACGGAGTATGCGCCCCCGACTTCCGCCGGACTGCTCTGGTCCATCCGCGGGCCCGCCAGTGACTCGATCCCCTGCCCAGGGCTGCTCTTTCGCCCTGGATCCGCGCCCGCTGGCCAGAATGAAGGGGCCCCATGACACACAAATAAATACACACAAATAAAAAGATTCCCCATATTTTCCCATATTTTCTGGGTTTTTGTCTTCCCCCCCACTTCCCATATTTTCCCATATTTTCCTGGGAGTCGACGATTAATTGTGTCTGTGTGTTTCTTTCCCTCCTGACAGAAGCGGGGCTCCCGGAGGCCGAACTGGAAGCAAGCCGCCAGGATGCCGTGTAAAAGCTGCCCGCGAGCGCGGGCCCAAAACACTGGGCTCTTGGGACCTCGATGCGCGATCAGTGTGGAGCAGGCAACGTGGTGTGAGCTACGCAGCGCCAGCTACGCGGTCTAATTAACTGGTGTTCGCCAGTTGTCAACTCCCATGCTCGCGCAATCATCCCGACCTCCCAACCACAACTTGTTCTCCACAGCCCATGCGGCCGCGATTGCGGTGACTCCTCGGCACTGGCTGGCGCATCTCTGCGGCTGCGCTAGCGCGCGCAAGCTCGAGCGCAGAGCGACCAGCTGGCCGCGTCGGCTCTAACCAATGGCAAATTCCCAGCGTGCCTCAAAGGCCGCGCTACCGCGCGGGCGCTGCGATCCTCTGGCGGGCGCGGTATCACGATGACGTCGACAACGACGAAAACGATGTTGATAGTAGCGATGGTGGTGGCGATGATGCCGATGACGACAGCAAGGGCAATGACGGCGCCGATGCTGGTGACGCCAATGACGATGATGCTGACGTCGATGTGTCGGTGATGAAGGTGCTTGAATAATGATGGCGGCATTTTGGCGGCGATTAACGATGAGTTACAATGACGTGATGCGGCGGCGCTGATGACAGTGGTGGTGAGGAAGTGCGCGCGCAGAAATGCAAGAAACCTGGCAGACTTTTGGTTGAAAAGCAGGTGATCTTGAAAATGGGTTTGAAGAGCTCTATCTTGAGCTGCTTCGAAAACCAGTGGTTTGATGAGGATTTCGGCACGCGCGCGTGTCGGCGCGTGCGTGTGGCTCCGTATTCGTGCTCTGGGCGCATGCTGGATCAACGCGGATGCACCGCGTGGTGAGATGAGAGTGCGGGCTCTGGACGAGATCGCTAAAATCTTACTGGTTCCGAATGGTTTCAGCGAGTGCGCGCGGACAGACAATGTGCAAGTGTGGCAATGGAAGACCTATGGGATGCTTGATTTCTCCATGTTGAAATGCCTGCAAACCTGGTATGTTTGGTATGGTTTCGACCTGTGCGCGCGTGTGTGGACTTCGTACCTTGCTTTGCAAAGGGTGTGACGATGAACGAGCGTGCGCACAGTGCATTTTGCACAGGGACGACGGGGGGGGATCGATACCAGTTAGGCTGGGATGGTATGATTTCACAGGGCACATGAACGACGAGGCAGAATCATTTGTAATTTGCAGCGTCCCAGGGGGAACCGATTCGCACAGTGGGAGAGGGTGGTAGAGTATGTTCTTATGTTGTTCTTTTGAAGCGAGGCCAGACTGGGTGCAAGCTTTGTGGTGCTGTGCATGTGGTGTAAGGCATGTTGTGCAAGCTATGTGGTGCAAGCGACGTGATGCAAGCCATGTGCTGCAAACTATGTGGTGCAAACTGTGCTTTTGCAAGCTTCGGCGGTGGACAAACCTCCCTTTAGTAAACCTCCCTTTAGTGAAAACGGCCTGGGACCGAAACAGGCGGACCTGGACCCGTAAAAATGACGCCCGCGACGCCCTCTCGCGAACCGAAAACGGCCAATTCGCCAATCGACGTGTCAGGGTAGGAGGTCTGTCCACCCCCGAAAGCTATACGTCGTCCGTGGAGCTCGAGGCAAGAGCTGGGCGGTCGGCAGCACGAGGCGTCCACGAAGCGCCCTCGATCAGGCACTGGGCAGGCACGACGCGCCCACGAGGCCCCCATGGGCGCGCACGAAGGAGCGGGCACATCCTCCTCCTCCTCCCCCTCCTCCTCCTCCTCCTCCTCCTCCTCCTCCTCCTGCGGCCTCCTCCCCCTCCTCCTCGTCCTCCTCCTCCTCCTCCTCCTCCTCCCTCCTCCTTCCTCCTCCTCCTCCTCCTCCTCCTCCTCCTCCTCCCGTCCTCCCTCCTCCCTCCTCCCTCCTCCCTCCTCCCACCTCCCTCCTCCTCCTCCTCCTCCTCCTCCTCGACCTCCTCCTCCCTCTCCTCCTCCTCCTCCTCCTCCTCCTCCTCCCCCATCCTCCTCCTTCTTCCCCTCCTCCTCCCCCTCCTCCTCCCCCTCCTCGAGCCTCGAGCCTCGAGGAGGGCGAACCCCGCTGGACTCTTCCCAGCACGAGGACCGCCGGCGGGGCGCTCCTGGGCGGTGCACCAGGCGAACAAACCGCGGGAACTCTCGGCGGCTCGGCTCCGCCGGCCGGAGCTCGTGGGCGCCGGCCCGCTCGCGGAGGACCGGCCGCCGCCGCCCTCCTCTCGAGCCTCGAAGCCCGGGCCGATCGGCGCCGTCGGCCCCCAGCCGAGGGAGGAGGAGGAGGAGGAGGAGGAGGAGGAGGACGAGGACGAGGATGAGGAGGAGGAGGAGGAGGAGGGAGGGAGGGAGGGAGGGAGGGAGGGAAGGAGGGAGGGAGGGAGGGCGGGAGGGAGCCACGCCGATCTGTCGGGCGGCACCGCGCCCCTCGGCTGGATCCGGCGCCCCCCTTCCTCTGGGGCCGCGGAGGTGAGATCACGTCACGGGATGCCTGGGGGCCAGGGGCTGCTGGGTGCCAGGCGTCCATGCCCATCGACAGCCCCGCGAAGCTGAGCACGAAGAAGTACTGGAAGGCGACCACGCGGTCCAGCCGGTGTGCAAAGTGATCGGGCCGCGCGATGTGCCAGTAGTCCGCCCAGAAGGAGCACGCCGAGGTTACCAACTCGGGCAGGGCTTCACAACACCTCCTATCCTCCTCATATGCCCTTCCTCAGCCTCGTCGTCACCCACCTAGCCCTCCTGCGCCTCCTCCTCCTCCTCCTCCTCCTCCTCCTCCTCCTGCAACTGATTCTACAATAGAATCAACACTTCACGATTCGTATGCACCTGCGTCAGCATACGCGTATTTATACCACGTACACGTCAGCGTTGGCTTATACTCATACTTCCAAATGAGCCTCCACTTATACGTGAACGTTTTTTTTGCGCGCGCGCACACACACACTTCTGCTTCGACTCCCATGCGCGCGTTTACCTTGTCTGGTACACCACCATGCCGCAACGTGTGCGACGGGTAACAGTCGAGCTCTCTGCATGTTAGATGCACGGTAACAGACCCGAGGCCCTGGATTCTCTTGATCCCGACATCGCATGACGTTGCCAGGGCTTGCCGCGTGACCCTTACGGAGGCCTCTGGACCGCGGCTGGAGGTCTCAACCTCCAGCATACCCAAATATGGCCCTGTGGGTCCGTGCTGGGGCTGTTTGGGGGCCTCTTACAGTCAACGCACAGAATAAGGATGCACGATAAGGATGCAAATTCATTGGGGGGCAACGCCGATACTTTTCGAGCGGGGCCCGGCCAGTGAAGGCGGCCAAAGATGGGCCGACAGGGCAGCATGCAAAAGCAACCTTGAAAAGTCGCTAGTCCTTACCATCCGTGTTGACTGTAGGCCGTCTTGAAGCCCTCGGGGGCAGCCCCAAAAACTAAAGGCAATTAACAGCCTATCGTTGTGGCCTAATTTCATGTTCCTCCGGTGCTATAGGAGCGTCCAAAGACAGCTCTCGTGGCCCCCAAACGAATCAAGGAGGCTGCCAAGACGGCCAGGGGCCAGCCCAAGAGGGGAACCCGAACGGCGATTTCGAGCCCTTCACCCGAAGATGGCCGCGGACTGCTATCCTCAGGACGCGCGCGACACCCTCCCGCGTTCCGAGGGCAACGCCCTGCCGTGTCAAATGCTGTACTTGCTCGAAACACATGTTCTTATAGGTTCTGCGTTTTCAAGGCTACGTCCGGAAACCGGACCTTCATGCCCAGAATGGCCTCCAAGATGGCATCCGACGACCAAGATGGCCCAAGATGGCCTCCAAGGCTGTTCCAAAACGCCTCCAAGACGGCCGAGATGGCCCCCAGACCGCCCAAGATGCCCTCCAGACGGCCCAAGAGGCTCCCAAGACGCCCCAAGAGCGCTCCAAGAAGACTTCTGGGAGGCCAAGATCATTGGTGATCCGTAGGCTTCTACATGTTGTTCGCACTCTTGCCTTTTCGGGCTTCCGACGCTCCAAGACGGCCCCGTGGGACCCCAAGATCGCCCCCCGACGGCCCAAGAAGCCCCAAAAAGAGGCCCAGAAGACGGCCCAAGAGGGCGCCACGAGGGGCCAAGACGCAAGAGGCCCCCGAAAAGCGGCCCCACGGACCTGAAAGACGGCCCCAAAGCGCCCAGAGAGGGACCCACGACTGAGACCTCCAGGAAGCCCCCGAGAGGCCCCCGAGAGGCTCCCAGGAAGCCCCCAGAAAGCCACAAGACGGTTTCAAGAGGCCTCTTCTTCCTCCTCCTCCTCCTCCTCCTCCTCCTCCTCCTCCTCCTCGTCCTCCTGCTCCTCCTCCTCCTCCTCCTCCTCCTCCTCCATTGTTTTCCTTCTCCATAACTTCTCCCTGTCGCACCTCGAGGCTAGTTTTTAGGGCGGGCCAGGCGTTTCGCTTGAGACTTTCTCACCAATTTTGATTCTGAAGCTTAAAAATGACAACAGCTTTGCAGATGGAGGGCGGGTGGTTTTCAAAATGTGGCTCTCGCCTGAGCGCCGCGCACATTCGTTTAAACGTTTGCAAGAGCTTCACGAATTGAGGGCGGATCGTTTTCAAAATGTAGCTCCCACCTCAGCGCCGCGCAATTGTGCTTCAATCATTTGCAAGAGTTTCACGGATTGAGGGCGGGTGGTTTTCAAAATGTGGCTCTCGCATTAGCGCCGCGCGCACTCTTTGATCAAATTTGGAAGAGCTTCACGGATGCCCATGATCAGCGTACCAGAAATGATGTGTTGGAAGGATTCAGGATTGTGCGGGCGCAACTGTAATATTGATTCGCGGTGATAAAGTCCAACAAATATCTTATGGCACGATTCCGGATCGTCAAAACGCAGCAGTCAGATTGATCCGCGGCGCTGGAATCCCGAAAACAATGTTTGGGCATCCTTCACGGTCTTCAAGGATATCTTCCAACGAGGGAGTCCCCTCTGACAATGAAACGTTGTATGGGCTTATGAAGAGGAAGCTTGGAGGGCGGGTGAAGTCCAACATCGTTGATGACTCTGTGGCTTAGACTGGTCCTCCTCCGCCTCCTCCTCCTCCTGTTCCTCCTCCTCCTCCTTCTCCTCCTCCTACTCCTCCCCCTCCCCCTCCTCCTCCTCCTCCTCCTCCTCCTCCTCCTCCTCCTCCTCCTCCCCCTCCTCCTCCTCCTCCTTCTCTCATTCGTCTTCTTAAGATTCGTGTTAGTATTGTTTTTCCTGTTCTTGTTCGTAGCATTCGTCTTCTTATGGTTGTCATCCTTCGTTATGTTACGCTTGACATCGTTAGTATTCTTCGTACTACTATCCGTCTTGTTATTCGTATGTTTCTGTGTCACGTTCGTCTTCTTAGTAATATAAGTTGTAATCCCATTAGTGTTACTACTCTTCTTACCAATGTTATTATAATCAGTAGTAGTACGAGCATGATTCCTCTTCCTCCTCCTCCTCCCTGTCATCCTCAGTTTTTTTTGTTTCTCTCTCTCTCTCTCTCCAAAGTATTCCCCAAATGGATCCCGCACCTGGCAGCTGGCTGGAGGAACGCACACACACACACACATAGTCCAACACCCTGACCAGACTTCGGCACAACGCTTGGCCGCATGGGCGTCCCCAAGGTGGCAGGGGACAGCGGCGGTTCGCCGTATGCGTCTTCGATCTTCGATTCGCGCACACATTGTTGTCAATGGTGTTTCCTCTTTGCGTTCGTTCGAACCTGTGGGCCTGGGTCCTGCGTGTCCGAGACTCCAGACATGTGGGTGCGGAGCAGGAAGGAGGACAAGGACGCAGAGGAAGAGGGCACGGATCACGTGGAGAGAAGGAGCGGCTAAGGATGGAGGGTGATGAGGAGAGCGGGGAGCAGCAGCAGCTGCAGCGGCGGCAGCGGCAGCGGCAGGGTGCGGATCGCAGGGCGGCGCCCGCCCCTACTCCAAGCCGTCCTCCCTCATCCGCCTCCTCCTCCCCCTGCCATTGCTTCTCCTCGCCATCCTCCCTGCACGCACTCAGTCCGCGACGGGGCCGCTCCCCTGGAGGTCTCTGGAGGCCCACGGGGGGGTCTCCCAGAGGATCCTGGACTTTGTGGGCCCCGGAAACGGCAGGGCCGTTTTTTCACCGCTTCCCAAAAAAATGTCCCTTGATAGTGGAAACGGCAAAAAAACGGCGACCGGAAACGGCAAAAAAACGGCTCCAGGATCGGAACCGGAGCCGGAACCAGTCAAAAAACGGCGACGGAACCGGTAAAAAAACGGCGTCGGAACCGGGAAAAAAACGGCAGAACGGAACCAGTAAAAAAACGGCCCTGTCGTTTCCAGGGCCCACCAAGATCCTGGAGGTCTCTGCCGGGGGGCCCCTGCGCAGTGGTCCCTGGGGACGCCTCCAGCGGGGCCGTCCGCCAGGCCCCCAGGAGTCAAGGGGCCCAAGGACACAAATAAATACATACAAATAACGAGATCCCTAATATTTTCTTATATTTTCTTGGCGTTTGTCTTCCCCCCCCCCACTTCCCATATTTCCCCCTATTCTCCTGGGAGTCGACGATCACTTGTGTCTGTGTGCTGTTCTTCCTCCCGAGCGTCCACGAGCACCTCTGGTGCGCCGCCGCTGGCGAGCGCGGGCCGCGTCCGTGGCCCGAGCGGGGGCGCCGCTGGGCCCCGTCTGTGTGCACGAGCGGGCGGCGCGCAGGAGCCATTTGCGCAGGGACCGGCAGTCCCGGCACTCCGATCGTCCTGCTACGAACTGCTCTTAGAACCCAAATGTTCCGATAGCCAAAACGCTGTCCTTAGACCATACGCCCGAAGTTGCAAAACAGGGCAGTCCCAACCAGACACGTTCTGAGAACACTTCGGTGGGAGCTACGAGAGGTCCTGGTGGGACTGTAGGCACGCCAGGACGCTTCGTCACCGCTTGAGTGAAGTCGGGCGTGTCCCCCTACAGGAGGATTTTGGGCGAAAACTCAAAACTAGCCCAACCATACTCAGAAAAAGATGCCCAGAAATACCCAAAACATAGTCCCCCGACGATTTGTGGACTAGATTCTTGAACACTCCGCCTGTGGAGGGACACGCCCGACGTAGTGCTTGAGCCCTGGAGCCGTGGAGAGCAGCGAAGCGAACCCGCGCGAGGGGACTGCCTCGCACGGAGAATCGCTGCCTCGCCGCGGAGCGGGCGGCCCTCCGCCCCCCACGCGGGGGAGCCCTCCCTCCCCGCGTGCATGGGGAGGCCGCGGCCGCGGAGGAGGGAGAGGGAAGGGGCCCCAGGGCACTTTTTGGGGGTCTGCGGGTCGGGAGCGGGCCCCTTCCGGTCACGAGCTAAACGGGAGGCGAGTAGCCCTAATTGGGGAGACAGGGCGCGGGCGGGCAGGGCCTCAGGCGGCCGGAGGGCTCAGAGTACAGGCGGTGCCGAAGAACTTGCACAGGACAAGGTACGCCATGATCCCAGAGGGAGAGTGGATTGGTGGGCCCCAGGACACACAAATAGACACGCAGGGCCAGAGGCGTGCTAAGATCTCCGGCAACTGGCTAACCATCTTCTACTTCGCGCGCGCGGGGCGGCCCCTGGGGGTCTCCGGGCGAAGAGTACCCCGGCAAGGTCCCGGCAAGGTCCGGGTCAGAGATGCCGGACCAGGCAATTGTTCGACACCCCTCACGAGGATCGTGGCCTCCGAGGGGGGAGCCGCAATCGACTACCCCCCCTCCCGCCCCAAGAGGCCCCCAAAGCCCCCCCAGAGGCCCTGGGGGGCCCCAAGACGCCGCCAAGAGGAGCCCCAAGAGACTCCCAAGAGGTCCCCAAGAGGCCCCAAGAGGCCCTAAAGAGGGCTTCAGGGCCGGCGGAATGAGCGAAGCGATTAATAAATACACACAAATAAACATATTCCTCATATTTCCCCGTATTTTGGGGGTTTTCGTCTTCCCCCCCACTTCCAATAATTTCCCACATTTTCTGGGGGATCGACGATGAATTGTGTCTGTGTGTTTTTTGTCCCTCCTGAGAGAGGGATGGCGTGCGCCAAAGAGCACCCGCGAGGGACTAAGAGGTTCGACGCCGGCGGCGTTCGACGAGGAGGCCCCGGGGGTGCCCAGAGACATCTCGAAACATCTCGAAAAGTCCGAAAGCAACCGCGAGGGGATAGCAGGTTGACGTCGGCGGCGCTCGACGAGGAGGCAAAAGCGGCAAGCACGAGAGTTCGGGGCCCTTCCTGGGGGCCCCAGATCTTTCTCAAATCTAGCCCGCGCGCACCCCCAAACGCGGGCTCTCCAGCATCCCGCGGATGAATGGAGGTTGGCCGACATGCCAGCTGGCCCATGTTCTTCATCTACGTGTGTGTCCTCCTGCTCCTCCTCCTGCTCCTCCTCCTCCTCCTCCTGCTCCTCCTCCTCCTCCTCCTCCTCCTCCTGCTCCTCCTCCTCTTCGTCCTGGAACAGTCGCCTTATCACAGGCATACTTGATCGCTGTAATGTTGCTGCTGCGGCTGTGAGAGCTGCTGTTATGACTCTGTGGTCGTGTCCTGAGCAGCACCAGGAAGCTGGACATGATGGGCCTGTTTTCCACCACCACCACCACCACCACCACCACCAGAAGTGGAAGGGGAAGGCGGAGGGCGACGACGACGAGGAGGAGGAGGACGAAGAGGAGGAGGAGGAGGAGGAGGAGGAGGAGGAGGAGGAGGTGGAGGAGGAGGAGGAGGACGGGGACCCCCTCCCCCTCCAACTTCTGGTGGTGGTGGAAAACAGGCCCACCAGGCCACACGCACGGCTGGATTCTCGTGCGAGGCATCCCGAGGCCGCGCGCCGGGTCGCGTGCGGAGGCCGGCCTGCACGGCCACAGCACGGCCACGCACCGGAATGACACCCACCCGGGCACATGTGAATCCGGCTCTCGACAGGGCTGGTCGCGCCATGTGCAGCTGCTTCCCTGGGACTCTTTCTCACGGTCGCTGTTGATCCTCCTCGTGCCACTTGTCCGTGCTGCTCATTTTCCACATCGTCATGATCATCACATTAACATTACCATCATCATCTCCAAAATCAGCATCAGCATCACCGCCACCACTAGCATGACCACGCCACCATGAGCAGCATCCTCATCAGCATCATCATCATCAGCATCATGATCAGTATCAGCGGAATCATCGCCATCATCATCAGCATCATCAGCAGCATCATCATCATTATTTATTATCGTCATCTGCAGCTGACTCATCATCATCATCAGCATCAGCATCAGCATCAGCATTGCCACCATCATTATCATCATCATCATCATCATCATCATCATCATCATCACCACCACCACCACCACCATCATCATCATCATCATCAGCAGCATCGTCATCATCATCATCATCATCATCATCATCATCATCATCATCATCATCATCATCATCATCATCATCATATTATTCTTCATCATCTTAAGTATCATCAGTATCATCACCAGCATCTTCAACGTCATCGTCATCAGCATCATCAGCATCAGCATCAGCATCAGCATCAGCGTCATCGTCATCACCATCACCATCACCATCGCCATCGCCGTCACCACCACGACCTTCCCCCCCATTCCCTGTTCCCCGCCACCGAGCTGCAGGCGCAGCAGGGGTACCCCCGCGCCAGGAAGAACGGCGCCCCGAGAGCGGCGTAGGCCAGGCAGGAGGCCCCCACCAGCCAGCTCTGATGCCAGACCTCGGCTGGTCACAGTAACGGACGCGGCCGCGCGCAGCTGGTGATGCAGAGTGGAAGGCCCTCCACTGCGGTAGAAGTAGATCAAGGGCTCCCAACTTCGCGCTTCGGGCTGCGCGAAGCGCGAAGCGCGAGTCACTTCGCGCCCTCGCGCCGCCTCCCAGGGAAGAAGAGGAGGATGGGGAGAACTCGGAGCCGAAGCGCGAAGCGGGAAGCGCGAATAACTTCGCGCCCTCGAGGGCGCCCTTGTAGATGGACTCGGAGGATCGCGCCGCATCTCCAATGCATCGCCGATGCATCGGCGATGTGTCGGCGGCGTCGGCGACGCATCGGATTCTACATCGAGCCGCATCGCCAGTGCAGCGGCGAGGCGGCGCAATCCTCAGACCCCATCGACTCGGACCCCATTCGGGAGGCATGGATCTTTTCGCCCCACAAGCGACCCAAGCAGAGAGAGATGTCAGGAGACGCAGGAGCGCGTTTCTTTCTGTTCGGCGATAATGGGCATTGTAGGGGAGGGGGGAGTGGCCGGGGGGGGGATAATGTAACGCCCCCCCCACCCCCGCCGCGCGCACGGCGGCAGTGACCGGAGCGCACTGAGGGAGGAGGGGCGTTACGTTAGTTATAGGTGGGGGGAGGGGGGGAGGGGGGGCCGGGGGCTATAAATGCCAATTATGCCCCAAGCATTAAGTCGGGCGTGTCCCCCTACAGGGGGATTTTCGACGAAAAATACAACATATTCAAGAAATACTCCAACATGGCTGAAAAATACACCAAAAATGCTCCCCAGACTATTTTTGGCGTAGTTTTGAATAATATTCCCTCTGTAGAGGGACAGGCCCGACTTAACCCCACTGAGCCATGACTGCAATCGCCCGAATCCCTCTCGCCGTGCCCGCTGGATGCGCCCCTGCCTCCCCTCGTCTTTCGTCTTCCCTCTCCCCTCCCTCCCCTCTCCCCTCCCTCTCCCCTCTCCCCCCCCTCTCCCCTCTCCCCTACCTCCCCCCCTCCCCCATCCCTCCCCTCACCTTCCCTCTCGCCCCAGCGGCCCGTGCAGAGTGCGCGCAGTCGGGCCCGGCGGAAACTCCAGGAGCCGCGAGGCCCTCACGAGCCGGGCGGCCCCTCGGACCACCTGGGCCAGTCGTGCCGGGGCCCGCCAGGAGCGCTTCTCGCGCCCTCCCCGCCCCCAGGCTCGAGCGTTAAGTCGGGCCTGCCCCTCCTCAGGGGGAATATTCAAAAATAGTCCACAAAAAATAGTCTGGGGACCATGTTTGAATATTTTGGGGCATCTTTCGAATATTTTCTGTTGTAGAGGGACAGGCCCGACCTAACTCTAGCGTCAGCTCGCGTCGCCGGGGCTGTTTCGCTCGCTTGTGCGTCTCGTGGTGGTCCAGGGAGAGGTGGGCCGAGCCCTCGCAGCCAGAGCGCGGGGCGGCCCGCTGGCCTCGGTGATCGCGCCTTCTGCCACGTCCTTGGCAAACTGACAGGCGTAAGGGGGCACACATGGCCGGGGCGGAACCGACACCTCTGTGTGAGTCTGCAGCTCGGGTCCGGATGGCGCGCGCGGGCCCCAGGGACATCGCCGAGGAGGCAGGAGTGGAGGAGGAACACGACCATGTCCACGACAGTACAAGAAGAAGGATGAGGAGGATGCAGGGGTACGCATGACCAGGAGAACAAGGACGAGGAGAAGGACGAGGAAAACGAGCGGGAGAAGGAGGAGGTGACAAGGGGAAGGGAGGAAGAAGGCCAAGGGGAATGAGAAGGGGAAGCTGCAGGGGGATCGGGGAGGTTCCCAAAGATCTCAGGAGGCCTCAAGAGACCTTCGGATGTTCGGGTAACGTCAGAAACGTCAAAATATCGTTCCTCCTCCCCCTCCTCCTCCTCCTCCTCCTCCTCCTCCTCCTCCTCCTCCTCCTCCTCCTCCTCCTTCCTCCTTCTCCTTCTCCTTCTCCTTCTCCTCCTCCCCCTCCTCCTCCTCCTCCTCCTCCTCCTCCTCCTCCTCCTCCTCCTCCTCCTCCTCCTCCTCCTCCTCCTCCTCCTCCCCCTCCTCCTCCTCCTCGTCCTCCTCGTCCTCCTCCTCCTCCTCCTCCTCGTCCTCCTCCTCCTCCTCCTCCTCCTCCTCCGCGTCCTCATCTTCCCCGCCTCCTCCCGGACCCTCCTCGACCCTCCTCGATCCTCCCTCCTCCTCCGCCGCCCTCCTCTTCGATCCTCCTCCTCCTCCTCCTCCTCCTCCTCCTCCTCCTCCTCCTCCACCTCCTCCTCCTCCTCCTCCTCCCCTCCCCCTCCTTCTCGATCCTCTCCCCTCCCCGAATGTCCTCCTACTCCTCCTACTCCTCCTCCTCCTCCTCCTCCACCTCCTCCTCCTCCTCCTCCTCCTCGATCCTCCCCCTCCACGACGAGGAGCACGACCAAAGATGACGAGAGGCAAGAGGCCGATGCAGAGAGGGCTATCGGTTCGCGTGCCGCCCGAGTGCAAGGCACCGGCGTGGGAGCCGCCGCCGTAGCCGATGTTGAATATGCCCCCGACCCAGCCAGGCGGCGCGCCGGTCCGCGCTTTCATCGCGGGCGCCTTCGGAGGACTCCTCCTCCTCCTCCTTCTCCTCCTCCTCCTCGTAACCCAGAAGGCCGCCCGTGAGGCCAATTGGTGGCCCCGAGAGGGCGCCGCAAGAGACCTTCTCTTCCTCCTCCTCCCCCTCTTCCTCCTCCTCCTCCTCCTCCGCCTCCTCCTCCTCTCCTCCTCTACTCCCTCCTCCTCCCCTCCTCCCCTCCTCCTCATCATCATCATCATCATCATCATCATCATCCTCATCCCCCTCCTCCTCCTCCTCCTCCTCCTCCTCCTCCCCTCCTCCTCCTCCTCTCCCTCATCCTCCTCCTCCCCCTCCTCTTCATCCTCCTCCTCCTCTTCCTCCTCTTCCTCCTCCTCTTCCTCCTCCCCCTCCCTTTCCCTTGTGGGGCCTGCTCCCGACCTGGGACGTAGGAAGAAAAGCTTGCAGGCTGTGCGCAGACCCGAGGCCAACTTGTGGGTAGTGGCCGCAGCGGCGGCTGAGGCTCGAGGGACCGGGACGGGAGGTTCCCCTACATCAGGGGCACCTTCCTCTTGTTCCTCGGCTGCGTTACCGAGCAGGGCTGCGGGTACGACTGTACACCCTCCAGGGGGAATCCTCCTCCTCCTCCTCCTCGTCTTTCGCGTCCTCCTCCAATCTCTGTCACTGGCCCCCTAGAGGACTGGCAACGCTAGCAACGCTAGGGGTGGTCTCGCACTGATTGCGCGAGCGATGTCTGGCTTGTAGGTTTCATCGACATGCCCAGGCTGTAGGGCTGGAATGCCACAGGTGCAACCCCATGATGACAAGTCTTCTGCAAGAACCGCGCGGCCTTAAGTTGCATGTTGCCGAATGCTCAGCAGGTGGCTCGGAGGGACTCCCCATGATTTGCTCCAAATGTGGGCAGCTGACTGACGGTCACCGAGCCAAAGGGCTGCTCTTGACTTGCAGATCAAGCTTTGAGGGCACCCACCGGAGTCACATTGGAAACGGTTCACCAGACACCGCCACCCCAATCATGCCAGAGGCCATGATAAGGTGTTGGTTGATCCAGCCGCTACCTCTGCGGAGGCATAGGCCCCCAGGTCGCGGCACGTGACCGACGAGACCCGGCCGTATGTCATGTGTTGGCCCTCTTATCCCTCTCTGCATCTCTCTGCATCTCTCTGCATCTCTCTCTCTCTCTCTCTCTCTTCCTCCCCTACGTATGACCCACGTTGCTGTGGGGAGCACTTCGTCCAATAGCTCGGCCAAGCTCGGTCCCAACGTTCGGCCACGCGGGCTTCTCCAGAGGGGCAGGGGGCGGCGGCGGCTCGCCGCAGGCGGCTTCGACAACGTCAGTGGGCACCAGGACAGGCACAAACAGTCAGAGAGGCAGGTGCCGCCCGTGCGGAGGAAGACCCCAGACAGCTGCACAACCGGGCACGTGGGCCACGACGGGTGTCCAGGATGGGGGGCCACGAGGGGCCACGGCGTTTTTTCGGGGGCCCTCGCCGGGAGACAGGAGCGTCCTGCGGGCTCCCTACGCGAGGGGCCTAGGGGGGAACTGGAAAAGGGGGGGGAACATCGACCTGGGATCGGCGATGCATCGCCGGTAGATCGGCGATGGGCCCCCGATAGCGGCTCCGCACGTTCCTGGGCGGGTTGGGGCTATCAGACCCCGGTGGGCGGTCTTTGGGCGATTGGGGGTCGATGCATCCCCCCCCTATGTCCTATGCCTGTCCCCCCCTACTGTTGCTCCTGACTGCGGACGAGCTGCTCAATGAACAGACGCGAGGCGAAAGACGCTCCTCCGCATGGCCTCCGGGCGGGGCCAAGGCCCCCCCTCGTCGTCGTCGTCGTCCTCCTCCTCTTCCTCCTCCTCCTCCTCCTCCTCCTCCTCCTGCTCCTCCTCCTCTTCTTCCTGCTCTTCCTCCTCCTCCTGCTGCTCCTCCTCCTCCTCCTCCTCCTCCTCCTCCTCCTCCTCCTCCTCCTCCTCCTCCTCCCTCGAAGCGTCCGCGAGGGCCTCGGCCAGGAGCGGCTGCGCGCGGGCCTGGCGCGCCGCGCCCTGCGGCGCGCTGCCCTCCATCGGGCGCGCCGGCCCTTCGGGCACGGCGCGAGGGCCTCTCCGGCCGAGAGGGGCTGCAGTGGCCCTCAGGCGCGCGCTCGCGCCCCAGTGATGGGCCTGTTTTTCACCACCACCACCACCAAGAGTTGGAGGGGGAGGGGGTCCTCCTCCTTCTCCTCCTCCTCCTCCTCCTCCTCCTCCTCCTCCTCCTCCCTCCTCCTCCTCCTCTTCCTCCTCCTCCTCCTCCTCCCCCCTCCTCCTCCTCCTCCACCTCCTCCTCCTCCTCCTCCTCCTCCTCCTCCTCCTCTTCGTCCTCCTCCTCCTCGTCCTCCACCTCCTTCCCCACTCCAACTGATGGTGGTGGCGGTGGAAAACAAGCCAATCGCCCCGCATCGCGGACGAGCCGGTGCGTCACCCCCTCGGGAGCCGTTTTTAGATCGGGCCCCGAGTGCTATGAAGAAGACGAGAAACGGCCCCCGAGGGAAGCGATCGGGACCTCCGGGGGCCACGGAGTGAACAAAATCACATCCTCGGATGTCTCAGGAGCGCACAGTCGCGGCCATAACGGGCGTTATGGGGGGGACGGGAGGGGGCATAACGTAATTAGCGCCGCCCCCCCAGACTGTGGTGCCGGACGCACTGCGGCAGTGCCGCGAACGCACTGAAGGGGGGAGCGTTACGTCATGGAGGGGGGGGAGGGGGGGGGAGGGCATAACGCATAACGCGCGTTACGTCCCAGAGGTTAGGAAAACACTCTCTCGGATGTCTCAGTTTGCGCCTGCTTCAAGCCAGGTGCGCCGCGAAGGGGGGTGGGGCAGCAAGACCGGGGCCAGATCGCATCACGGCCCGAAGCAGAGCGGGGCCATGAGGTCTGGGAGCGTCCATGGCCCAGCCACATCCTCCCCAAGTCCTCACAGCCCTCCTGGGCATTCTCGAGACAGGCAGCGAAGTGGGCACTCCCAGATCTCCGACGCCGTGCTCTCCTTGCAGCACGGACCCCTACGAGGTCCAGACCTCCTCCCCGTGTGCCGCCTCTGCATCCCGGGTCGTCTCTTGACGGCCACTCGGGCCCAGTGAGGGCCCCGTGGCCGAAGATGGGGAGATACCAAAAAAACAACAACAAAAAGCAAAACAACAAACACAAAAAACTAGCAATAATCATTTACGTATCCATCATTTATATGTATCTGTGTATAAATATATACATATATATACATATAGATGATAATACAAACAATAATTATACGAATACGAATATGAAGGATACGACTGCAAGTAAGAGTAATAATAGTAATATCAACAACAATAATGATAACAACAACAACAACAACCACAATAATAACAACAACAACAACACCAACAACAACAACAACAACAACAACACCAATAACAACAATAATAATAATAACACTAACAATAACAATAACGGCAATAACAACAACAGCAGCAACAACAACAGCAGCAGCAGCAACAATAACAACAATAACACTTGTAATATCAACGACAACCATAATAATGACTACAACCATAATAGTAATTATAAGAATACTAATAATGATAAGTATGTGTTTGAATTAACTACCCCCAGAATATGCCGCTGAGATTGTTGCGGCTTGTCTGGGTGCCCGGCAAACTCCCAGGGGGCACGCGGCCGCGAGCCCTTCCCCCGGGGCGCCGCGCGCCGAGGCCCTGCCTCTCGGTCGCCGGCGGCCGCGCCGGCCCCCCGGGTGCCGGCAGCCAGAGGGCGCGAGAGGGCGGGCCCGCGGCGCCCTCTCGAGGCCTCCCTCGAGCGCGTGCTCCCCATGACCCCCTCGGGCAAAGAAGAAATCACGACGGGGGGTTTTTGTTGCCGTGTTCGGCCTCTGGGGGGGCCCCTCCGGGCCCTCGAGGCCGTTGAAGAACACGACTCGGGGTGGAAAACGGGTCCAGGGGAATGGGTCGAGACCTCCAGGGGTCGACGCAGTGAAAAAATCATGACGTCGGGGGTTTGGGTCTTATGCGCGGCCACAACGGGCGTTCGGCGGTGGGCAAACCTCACCTCCCTTTCGCAAACCTCCCCTTCTAGTGAGAACGGCCTGGGACGGAGGCCGACGGACCTGGACCCGCAGAAGTGACGGCCGCGGCGCCCTCTCGCGAACCGGAAACGGCCAATGCGCGAATCGACGTGTCAGGGTAGAAGGTCTATCAACCTCCGAGGCGTTCTGGGGGGGAGGGGGGGGGGGGGCGGGAGAGGGCATAACGCAGCGCCGTCCCCCCCAGACTGTGGTGCCGGACGCACTGCGGCAGTGCCAGGGACGCACTGAGGGGGGAGCATTACGATATGGAGTGGACGGGAGGGGAAGGGAGGGTGGGGGGCATGACACGCGTTGTGGTCCAGAGGGTAAAAAACACTCTCGTCGGCAAGGACCAACCAGCACCGAGTCGGGGCACCAGATCGAACCGGAACGTGCGCCGGATCGAGCCGCGTCGGCACGGTGCAGGAATCGAGTCGGGATCGGCCGCGCCAGGATGAGCAGCAGCGCCATGGAAGCATCGGGCCGCGTCGAATCGCCTTGCCCCTCCCGAGATGGGTACGAACAACAATTCCGATGCCCAACAGCAAAAAGGTTGTCCAAACCGACAGCGGCCGCATCTGGGCAGGCGACCCTCTGTCTCGAATGGACGCCGCCCGCGGCCACGCCGGCAGCGATCCCTGCCCACAACGGACGAGCCCGCCCCCGAACCTTCGCCTCGGCACCCAGATCTCCGAGGCCGTGATTTGCTCTCAGCGTGGACCACCCCCCCACAGGTCCAGACCCCCGTCCCCGAGGACGGGAGGAGGAGGAGGAGGAGGAGGAGGAGGAAGAGGAGAAGGAGGAGGAGGGTGAGGAGGAGGAGGAGGAAGAGGAGGCGAAGGAGGAGGCGGAGGAGGAGAAGGAGGAGGGGAAGGAGGAGGAGGAGGAGGAGGAGAGGAGGAGGAGGAAGGAGGAGGCCATCCTGGACCTCCAGGCTCTCCAGGCTCCAGGAGCCTGGCGAGGGCCCAGCGAGGGCCCGGAGGTCGAAGACTGGCCCTTCCCACCCCCCCCCACCAAGATATATATATATATATATATATATATATATATACATATAGAATTGCCGAAGCGATCGCTGCACGACGAGCTCACAGGGCAGCTTTCAATACTTAGGAATTTTTAAACTGGACTTTTAAATTCAATCATGAACTCATCAATTAAATTCATGAATTGGACTTTTAAAATTCATGAACAAATCAATGCATGAACTCATCGTTGTTTTTGATACTAAATCCCTGCATTTTTAATACAGGGTACGCACGCGGAGCATGTATTCAAAACGGCACTCTATATAGAATCGTCGAAGCGATCGCTGCACGACGAGCTTGTGCCGTCTGCCTTTCGGAGGCCCGGGGATGGGCGCCAACATCAACACAGGGGGGTGCCTCCACGTGGGGAAGACGACCCCAGCTTCCGGCGTTGGTGGCACTGCTTCGGCCACCTTGGAAGCCAGAACATCTTGCCGCCACCACCGAGATCGGGATCGGTGGAGGCGCACCGCCGAGACTGGTGTTGGTGCCAACCTCTGGGCCTGTGAGACTTGCCCCGACCTCTCGTCGTGAGGTCCTCACGGCAAGAGCAGGACGCAGAGCACGCCCCATGGACGGGTCGGCCATCCCCCCCGCGCCCTGCGTGCCCTTGTGAGCCCAGGGCCACGGAGAGCTCTCCCGCGGAGCGGCTCTGCGCGGGGCCCGGGCCAGAGGCCGAGAAGCCATCCGGACCCCTTGCCCTCCGGACCTCCGAGCAAGTCTGATAAAAAACAAGTGTGATAACAAATAACTGTTCCGAACAAGTGTGATTAAACAACAACTGCTCCGAGCAATTTGTTTTATTACACTTGCTTTCAGCTTATCACGCTCGTGAAAACAAAAAGCTTGTTTTTGTATCACTCTTGTTCGCTGTTTTATCGAACTTGCTTTTTTATCACACTTCGGTCGGGCATGCCCCCCTACAGGCGAAACCTGGGGGCAGAATGGAAAATACTCTAGACATGCTCAACAAATAGTCCGAACATTAAGTAGAACCATCATCCCCAGGCTATTATTTTGTTTGCGATTGAGGAACTTTGTCCTCCTGTATAGAGAGAGGCACAGGCCCGACGCAACCCTGCACTCCCTTGTCTGGCGGTGGACAAACCTGCCTTTCGCAAACCACCCTTCAGTGAGAACGGCCCTGGGACCGAGACCGACGGACCTGGACCCGCAGAAATGACGGCCGCGACGCCCTCTCGCGAACCGAAAACGGCCAGTTCGCGAATCGACGTGTCGGGGTAGGAGGTCTATCAACCTCCGAGGCGTTATGGTGGGGGTGGGGGGGGGAACGGGAGAGGGCACAACGCAAGCGCCGGCCCCCGAGACTGTGGTGCCGGACGCACCGCGGGCAGTGCCAGGGACGCACTGAGGGGGAGCATCAGGATATGGAGGGGACGGGAGGAGGGGGGAGGGGGGGGGGGGGGGGGGGGAGGGGGAAGGGGAGGGGGAGGGGGGGGGGCAAGCTAGGTGCGCTCGCGTCATATCTGACGTCCTACCCCTCCCTCCCATCCCTTACCATGGCGCTGATTTTCTCTATCCGCGGACGCGTGTCGTAGCGGACCTGTGGCTCCGCGCGCGCGTGCGTAGTGGGTGGTGGTGCGCGTGCGTGCGTGCGTGCGTGCGCGTGTGCGTGCGTGCGTGCGTGCGTGCGTGGTGCGTGCGTGCGTGCGTGCGTGGTGGTGGTGGTGGTGGTGGTGGTGGTGGTGGTGGTGGTGGTGGTGGGGGTGGTGGTGGTGGTGGTGGTTGGGTGGTGGTGGTGGTGGTGGTGGTGGTGGTGGTGGTGCCCTGATCCTCCGTTCTCGAAAAATTTGCATCGTGAGAGGGTGTCGGAAAGTAAGCTGCATCTTGCAAAAGTGTGCTGCGATTTCCGGCCTGGGTCGCAACGTGAAAATGCATCTTGCGGTAGCGCCGCCCGCCGCGAATCCTTCATATTTCGGGCTCGAAATTGCAGTCGCGCCGCGCTCGAAATTGCAGCCTCCCGCTCGAATTTC